CACACTTGCCATTCATTATACTAATTCAACATTGATCGATAGGTCTATGCGCGCATGTTCCTAGCTGAGCTATAATGTGACATAAAAAAGTTAGGATCAATTTTTTTTTTTCATCAACTCTGTGACATAGGCCCATAGCTAGTGTAATTATCCTCAAGAATGACATGACTATGCGTGGTAAGTGGACCGTTGGATCCTCTTGTTGGATCCTTAATCCAACGTTGGGCTGATATATAAAATAATTATTGTATTGTGCTTGTCAAATAAAGAAGCCAAAATAAAAGTGATCAATTAAATTTTAAAGTATCAATAGAGTGTGGGCCGTGTAGAAACTAATGAGTATTCTCTATTTTAATGAGAAACTAAAATAGAGAGGCTCAATGTAACTTAATGTGCATAAAGGGTTGTCGTCCCATCCTGTCGACAGAGAAGTTACGGAGAAAAGATAGAAGATTCTTTGAAAGGTACTTCCGCTATTCAGTCTCGATTCTAAATTATTCAATACGAAAACTCCTGAATTAAAGCGATGTTTTTAGTCTAAAGTTAATTCCAATAAATGGTATAAGAGTCTCTTCATATTGTTTTTTGAGAATCGAATTATTTTCGATCAATATGTGATTGGTATTCATGTGCGAATTGACTAAGGGGTTTTTTTTGGTGAGCCACGGATTTGTACATATCCATCAGGCCTCGTATATATTCATTATGAGTGCGGCTTTGAAATCAGTTTATTTGTTGTTTGTATCCATCAAGAAGTTATTTGCTTTTAGTGCCTCTTACTCAATTTCAAGACTAATAATAAAGTTCTATCCACTCACTGCTTTTCATTCAGGAAGAATTTTTAAGTTGCATAATTATGAGTTGATTATGCCACTCACCATATTTTGATTATAATTTGGAGTGGAGTCGGTTTTGTTTGATTAAGGTTCAGCGAAATTCTGGTTGAACTTGAACGTGAATTATTTGCCGGCTGTTTGCATATGCTCATTAAATTGAGAGCATCTCCAATAGAAAATTGTCCATTTTGTGTTGTATAGTATGAAGAATGAAAACTAAAAAAAAAATGTCTTCAATGGTTAATGTCAATTGTAGTATCATTTGTGATGTGTAAAATTTTAATTGGTTGAAGAAGATAAATAAATTAAATAAATACTCTAATATACAATAGAAGTTGTCTAGAAAGGTTTCTACATCTAGAAAACTTTCTAGAATTTTTTCAAGCCACATAAGATTATTTGTGTCATGTGGCAACAAAATAGAGAACTTGAAAGACCATTGGAGATGCTTTGATATTGTGGCACTCAATTCTATTTGATCGAATTATTTGTTAGATCCGTGTTATAAATTTGGTTTTGTATGATTATTTGCATGAGCTTCAATTAGTTTTCTGTGAATTAAAGTTTAAACCCTTAAACCTATTTTTCGGTCTGATAAGGAAGGGCATAACACATCAAACTCGACTATTATTTGCTTGATTTTAATTTCAAAAAGGCTATAATGCAATTTTGGTCTTATTAGATTATGAAGGTAACAATTTAGGTCCCACAAGAGTGACATATAGCAATTTAAGTCATGTAATTTAATACTTTGTTTCAATTTCAGTCACTTGACCGTTAAAACTGAAATTGCAACAAATTTCATGAACATTTATCTAAGATTGATTTTGAGAATTATTATATCATGAAAAAATGATTTTTTTTTTTCTTATCACTTTCAATCATAATTACTTGAATTTGAATCTTATGATATAATCTTCTAGTTCGTAATAACTATATTTCTCTAACTTTGATTTTGAACATTATTATATATTGGATAAATAATTTTCTTTTCATATCACTTTCTGACGTAATTACTTGAATATGTATCTTATGATATAATCTCCTATTCTTAACTTTTTATTTTTTATTTCATTTCATTACATTATTATTTATCCTTCATACTACTCTAAACTATATTTATCTATATAGTTTAACTCCTAATTAACTATTATCTAAGATTGATTTTGAACAATATTATATCTTGAATAAATGGTTTTCTTTTCTTATCACATTCAAACATAATTACTTGAATTTGAATCTTATGATATAATCCCCTATTCTTTAACTTTCTTTTTTTATTATTATTTTTTTAATTATTGTTTATGCTTCATTCTCTAAACTATGCTTATCTATATATTTTAACTCCTAAATGTTATGAAAAAGTCGTGAAATTCGATCCTACACTGTGTGGCACTGCTCATTGTGAAGATCCCGAGGTAACGAGACCAGTTCGTCCAGCCCCGTAGACCGTGAATCATCTCAGAGTCTACGAAAAATTTAAAACATAAGCATCTAATCTGATTCTTTAGATCTGCTGCACCGGATTATTTTCGTAAACAATTCGTTCTTTTACGATCATCGAAGTTTTTCATAGAACCAAATATTCTTTTTATTAATCAAATGATTAGATTTATTCATTGGCATTGTTAGTAGATATTAAAATAATTCTGGATAGGTGCACGGGTCCGCGGTAAAACATATAAGTATCATAAAAAGACTAAGGATCATATGTTGGATTACCAAGAGAACCATAAGCAACCGATGGTTTATTGTTCAGACTAAAGCAAAACTTTGAACATACAAACCAACACTGACTATACCAGAGCTAGTGGATTGCAGCGGGTGGATTGGAGAGTTGACTTGAGTGTCGGAGCTAGTGGAGTGCAGTGGGTGGATTGGAGAGTTGACTTGAGTGGTTATCTAAAGGGCGAACTACAAAGAAAGATGTCTTATAAGGAAATAAATTTTCTCCTATACGAAAAGTAGATTAAGTGAACCTTTCTAAGGATCTTACCTAGATTTGAAAGGATTGGTAACTTAGATAATTACTGAGAGCTATTCCCTATAGGGCTGGTATTTTTTGACCGAAAACCGAAAACAAAACCGAACTGAACCGAACCGATGTGAAAATAAACCGAACCGAATCGAATCATGTGTAACGGTAACCGAAATGTTATCGATTCGATATCGATTCCGAACCCATAAGGGTTCGATTTTACCGAACCGAGCCGGTAACAATATAT